AAAGAAAAGCAGCTGAACAAAATTGTCCCACAGAATGACAGTGTATGACAATATGCAAAATTTTGTACCTAAAAACCTTCACTTCTGTAATTCAAGGAAGATGCTTCTACAATTCTCTGAGTTAAAGATTGATTACAATTACTTAGCGTTCAACTTTGTTTTCATTCAATAAACATTTATTAAGTCCCTACTATGTGCACTGTATTTTAGTTCTCTTTTGTTTATGTTATTACAGTCATCTATAGTATTTTGTTTCTGCTTGTTCCACTTTGTATCACTTCATTTAAATCTTCCCATGTTTCAATGAATTCCTCAAGTTTAGAATTTCTTATGGTCCAATAATCCCACATTACATTAATAGATCACATTTTTTTTCAGCCATTCTCCCACTGATGGTCACCCACTTTGTTTCCAATTTTTTTTGCTACCTTAAAAATTCTTCTATGAATTCTTTGGCCTATATAAAACCTATATTGTTTGAATGAGATACGTAAAAAGTACAGCTGACCAAGGTATATCAAGAGATAAATTAAGAGATCCAGGGATGTTCCCTAAGTTGTACCTCCCCCTCTCCCTCTGACTAAACACATCCTCCTCCTATCTTCCTTGAGCTAAAGGTACCTGGCTCTTGAGTATAGGTTCTTCAGTCCCTTAGAAATCTTTACTCTTAGGCTACAGTGAAGGTCTGTTAGGTACCAAATGTAAATGTCACTATAAAAGGAAATGCTAAATGTAAATGCCAACTTTAAATCATTTGCAAACCACAAATTCTTAACCATTTCCAGTAAAATTGGTGGAAGAAAGGAGGCACATTGAAAGCTGCTGATCTCAGTTAATTCTGCTGATTGATGTGTAACTGGGTAAATCATTGTCCTTTAGTAAATGGTGTGAAACTCCAAAGATTCGTGAAGTTCTTAAGATTATATACCAGATGCTCCAATTCTCACCCCCTTTGTGATAACAATAAGAGCTAACTTTATATGGTGTTTTAAGATTTGCAAAACATTTTATATAAAATAGCAGGGAGAAAAGGGGGGAAGAATGAAAATATCATAATGGTCCAAATATCAGTTACATCCTCAATGTAAGATCTCTTTGAAAAGGAAAAAAAAAGCATGTATATATATTCATGGCAAAATAAGCAAGGACGTGTGATTTTTGTGGATGTGGGAAACTCCCTCAGAAGTATGGAGATCATCACCCATCTATAATTTTCAGTCTTCAGAAAGTTGCCTCAGGCTCAGAGCAGCTAATTGACTTATTCATGATCACACGGCTAGTAAGTAGCAGAGACAGGGTTTTAACTTAAGTCTGCCTGACTTTATGCACTACGCCATGCTACTGTTATACCAAACTGAAAAATAATTTTACAAAATTATTGTATGAAAATGTGTCATCAAAGGAAGTTTTGTTTTTAAGGTTTTATTGAAAATAAGGATTTTTAAAAACTAATTTTTAATAGTTGCTGTTTTATGACATCAGATAGAAAAAGATGATTAAAACTATTAAAGCTAATATAATGATAATAGGTACACATAGGTTTTACATAATCCAGATGTGGGAAGAAAGAGCAGTCTATATTTCAACCAATATTGGTCAATATAAAGTACATTCTCATACAGTATGCTTGTTTTTCATGTCCTGGGCCATACATTTTTCATTAGTACTTGTCTTTTCTTTTAGGTGGCAAAACAAGGAATGGCAGTGACTCATGTCTTCTGATTCTTTTGATAATCTCCCCTCCCTCCTTCCCCTGATCACCTAAAGCAGTTTTCTGTAAAATTTCCACAATGTTTTAAGGGGAAAGTAAGTGAAATTTGAGTAAAGTGATCATTGATTTAAAGTTTTCCCTGGACTATTCTCAAGAATGTCTTACTATTCTCTGTGCAGCAAACCTCCAACTTAGATTGCTACATTAAAATGCTATTTGCTATATGGTTAACTACCATAAATTCGATACATCTATGCAGTTGATATAGTCTGTGAAACATCAAAATATGATTTGTCTGCCAATTAGAAAGGAAATCTTTTTGTCTGTTTTATTGATGCCTTAAAAAAAACCCAACAACACTTTTCACTTCCCAGTATGTCTCACCCAGCCCTCATAATGTCCTTCTCAAAAGAGAGAAAAGCAGTTAAGCAAAACCTGCCCAGTTCAGAAACCATGCCTAACAGTTTATGCAATATCCTGTACCCGTGGTCCCCAACTCCTTTTCTAAGAGAAAGAAGTGTGTTTTATCATTGTTCTCTGGGGCCAAAATTTGGTCACACATTAAACTTAAAGTGGTTTTTTCTTTTTATTATGAACTTAACCAAAATGTAACTATTTCCATATGCAAAGAAAAACAGGAAAAGAAACTTGCATATGAAATTGTGAAGCTGTTATATACAGTTATTTTAAAATGCATATTAAATTTAACATGGTAAAATTAACACTGCTCTGATTGACTGTGTCACTTCTGAAATTCCTTCTGCTCTCTTCTAGGAATTTAAAAAATATTTTCTTTTCCCCCCTCATCTCTCTGTCACTGCCTCCTGCTCTCCTCAATAGTTCTTTCTCCATCCCCTCTTCTCCCCACCCAAACCATCCCTTATAACAAACAGTCAAGCAAAATTAATTTATACATTAATCACATCTAAAAATATATATCACATTCTAATCCTATATCCACAAGAGATGGAAAGTATGTGTTTTCATTGTCTTCTGGAGTCATTATTGGTCATTGCCTTAATGAATGAATAAATGAGCATTTATGAAAGTGCTCACTGTATGCTAAGATCTGGAGATAGGAACACAGAAGCAAAGACAGTCAGTTTCTTTGCTCAAGGAGGTTATATTCTAATGGGAACATGGGGGAAGAAGACAATACACAAAGAGGACTAGTAGTCAGGAAGGAGCACTTTAATCTGGAAAGATTGTGGGAGAACTGGGATTGAAGTCATAGAGAAGTAGATTAATAAGCTCCCACTGAAGAACACAGGAAGAGTTGATTTTGATCATAGTTCATAGTTCCAGAACTAGAACAAGGAGGAAAGGTATTATAAGGGGGCAGGGAGATTGTCAAGAAGATGTCCAGAGAGTAAAGGGTGAAGTAAAGCTAGCCTTGAAATAGTAGTCCAGGAGAGGCAGTCACCAATGGGTTTGACTGGTACCCAGACTGAAATTTCTCCAATGTGGCAAGGTTGTTTTCAAGGAAATGGCATTGGCTAATGTTCTTAAGAAGTCTTTCAAAATTATTTTCTTTTACAGTGTTTTAGTCATCGTATAAATTGTTCTCCTGGTTCAACCACTTCACTCTGAATTAATGCACAGTCTTTCTATGTTGGCCTTTTCTCATTTCTTATATTAATGTTCCACTACATTCACATGCCATAATTTATTTAGCTATTCCCTGATAGACGGGCATTCACTTTATGTCTGTTTATTACTACACCAAAAGGTACTGCTATAAATATGCTTGTATATATGGGTCCTTTACCTCTTTCATTGATCTTTTTGGGATATATCTACTTAGGAGTATAATAGATAGGAGCAGTATCACAGTGTCAGAGGGCATGCATAGTTTAGTGACTTTGGGGATATAGCTCCAGATTGCTTCCCAGAATGATTGGACTAATTCATAGCTCCAGCAACAGTGCGTTAGTGTACCTGTGTTCTCATAGCTTCTCAGCAATTGTCATTTCCCTTTTTTATCATCTTCATCAATCTGATGCATAAAAATTGGAACTTCAGTTATTAATTTGCATTTCTCTTATTAATGATTTGGAGTGGTTTTTTTTTTATATAGTTGTTGATAACTTTCATTTTTTTTCTTTTGAGAACTGTCTGGTTATCATTTATCTGTTGGGGAATGGCCCTTGTTCTTATATGCTCATATTGCTTCCGTACCAGACCATTATCAGAGAAATATATCCCAAAGTTTTTTTTTTTAGTAGTTCACTTTTCCCTTTACAATTCTAACTACATTAATTTTGCATGTGTAAAATAGTATTGTTTTTACATACTGTTACTTGCATCACTTTGGCCTGAGAGGCTGGCTTAGGTTAGGAGGTCGGCCTTGGAGTCAGGAAGGTTAAAGTTCATGTTCAGCCTCAGACAAACATGTATGTCTTTGGCCTACTCCTAACCTCCCAGTGCCCCCAGGCAACTCCCTTAAAGATTATATAAATTCAAGCCATTTGCAGATTTGCATGGGTGGTTTCCACTACCCAAAGGAAGTTCCCCACGCTGATGAAATCACTGGTCTGGACAAAAACAAAGCAAACCAGCAACCATTGTGTACATTGTTCTGGGAAAGGAAAGCTTCAGTATTTTTTTTCTCCCTAGAATGGCTGAGAAACCATACTGGAAGCTTATCTTGTGAAGAGTTTTGTCAGGCTGCAAGGTCCTAAGAAATGAAGCCCCAGGCTATCCACATAGCCCAACAATGCCCTCTACAAACATGTGCTCTTTTCTCAAAACAGGCCTCCCTGAGGTCATAGGACAAATTTGGCCAACGAGTTTAATAGCAGGCTTTGTGAGCAGCTTCAGGTGTCTGATTCCGCGCGCTATTGTAAGTCGAAGAGGATTTTAATCCTTAGCAAGGCATCTCTTCACTCTGCCAGTTTCAGCACAGCATATGCAGCCCAGAAAGAACTACCCATATTAGCAGAAGCAATGAAAGAAAAGTCCCTCCTCCTCCTTTTCCTCCAGCTCCTCCCCCTCCTCCTCCTCATAGAAATAGCCCTGAATTCTTACAGGCTTTCTCAGTTTCCTTTTTAAGAATTCTGAGTAAGGAAATCCTTAGTTACTTAACAGCCTGGATATTGTGTGTGAATTAACAATTAGGATGGACCCAGTGAGTAAAGGTTTCCCTGATTTGCTATTGGCTGGGGACTGCATTTTAGGAATTAACTAAGGGGAATAGAATGTCCTTCCAGGCAGGGCTGCCCTGAAACCTTACCGGGCCTGACATTTGAAACCCTCTTTGGCCAAAGTCAGAAAAGGAGATACAAGCAAATCCTCTACAATCACTACAAGCTTAACTTGTCTGTAAAGGCTTTGCTGTGCAGAGGATTCTGAAAGTGAAATTGGGGGACCCTCTTCCCCTGAAAGTTTCTGCTTCTGTTATTTGCTCAGGGGATAAAAGTGAGCTGTTCTGTCTCTTCCTTCTTAATGCTTTTGCCTGCTTATGTACTTTGAACTTCCACAGTAACATACTGGATTCTCTCAGAGTCCTATATATAGCAGAGAAGTGTAATACAATGGAAAGGGGGAGGAGGGAGGGGGGAAGAAAAGAGGAAGAGGAGAAGGAGGAGAGGGGGAAGCATTGGACTCCAACTGGGAAGAATTGCATTTGAATCCTGGTTCTTTGTCTTACTATATGTGATTCTGAGCAAGTCACCTTACCACTCTATACCTCAATTTCCTCATTCTAAAATGTAGCAGTTGAATCTATTGAGATTGAAAAGAAAATATTCTGTTATCTGTTGCTTGATGCCTCTTAATTTTACTATGCTTTTCCTAATCTAATTAAACTATTGCTTTTATTACAATTGAGGTTTTGAGTGAATATCAGTCACTGAAACTGAGGAGGAGTTTCTAGTGGGTGGTGACTAAGCGAAGTGTGTGAACTTGGGCTCCAAGAAGACATTCTGTGACTACAGGAAGGTAATGTTGTGGAGATTGACCATACATCCCCCCCCCCCCCCCCCCGTTATACTTAGAAATGTTACATTGAGTAGGATCATCTATTTAGATCTAGAAGGGACCTTACAGGTCATTGAGTCCAATAGGCTCATTTTATGCCTGAAGAAACTTAGACCAAGAGGGTTAACTAACTCTCCCTAGGTCAAACAGGTAATTAGTGGCAGAGATAGGGTTTGATCTTAGGTCTTCTGGCTCCAAATTTAGCATTCTTTTCTCTGAACCAGGCAACGTGAAGCTTCCTAATATGCTTGGAGTTGATTGCTTAATTAGAGAAAGAGTTGCTCTTCCCATTTTTCTTCCCCTGGAATTAAAAGTCATTTCTAATACCTCCACTATATCCCCTGCGATCCTTTGACCTTGGTCCCCTTGATGTCTCTTGATCAAGACGCTTCATCTCCCAGTTCCAAAAATTTCCCCTGACTGTCCTCCATGCCTGGAATGCTCTCCCTCTTCCTCCCTGCCTCTTGGCTTCCCTAGCTTCCTTCAAGTTCTAGTTAAAAATCCCACCTTCTACAGGAAGCCTTTCCCAAACCCCCTTGATTCTAGTGACTTGCTTCTGTTGATTATCTCCAATTTATCCTGTGTATAACTTGTTTGTACATAGTTGTTTGAATGTTGTCTCCCCCTTCAAAGTGTGAGTTCCTCAAGGGCAAGGACTGTCTTTTGCTTTTCTTTGTATCCCCTAATACTTAGCACAGTTCCTGGCACATAGAAGGCACTTAGTAAATTTTCATTGACTACATTTCAGTGTATCAACATTTCTTTTCCTCCTTTTCTTTATTTTACAACTAACAAGTTTTTTTTAAATTAATCTGTCTTTCTATTATATTCCCCCCACCATGAGCAAATTTAAAAAAAACAAACAACTTTAATACAAATCCCTTAATACTTAGCTGCATAGTCCAACACAACAAAGTCTGACATTAACCACATCAAAAAATGCATGTCTCTTCATTTTAAGTTCATCACTTCTATATTAGGAGATGAGAGGTGTGTTTCAACTATATTCTTTTGGACTTGTGGTTTATCATCAAGTTGATCAAAGTCCTAAAGTCTGAGGTCATCGAGGTGGTACAACAGATAAAGCACTGGCCCTGGAGTTAGGAGGACCTGAGTGACCTCAGACACTGACTACCTATGTGACACTGGGCAAGTCACTTAACCCCGGTTGCCTCCCAAAAAAAGTTCTTAAGTCTTTCAAAATTGTTTTTCCCTACAATGTTATCATTGTATAAATTGTTCTCCTAGTTTTGCTCACTATGCTCTGTATCAATTCATAAAGGGCTTCCTAGTTTCCTCTAAAATTGTCCATTTCATCACTCCTTACGGTGAAATAATATTCCATTGCATGCATATACCATATTAGTTTAGCTATTCTCCATTAGAAGGACACCATTTAATTTCAGTTTTTGGCTACCATGAAAAGAGCTTCTATAAATGTTTTTTTTACGTATGGGTCCTTTTCTCCTTTGGAGTATGGGCCCAGTAGCAATAGCTGGGTTAAAAGGTATGCAGATTGCTAAAATTCTGGGCATAGTTGCAAATTGCTTTCCGGAATGGCTGGACCAATTCTTAGCTCTACTATGCTTCCTTTTCTTAAAGATTGGTGCTTATTTTTTTTGGAACTCTCACTGATTAGTGACTTAAATGAGGTGATGAAGTAGTCCCAATCTTCAAAGCCCTTGCAGACTGCAGAACCCAGGATAAAATAGATGAGAGATAGAGAGACAGAGAGACAGAGAAAGACAGGGAGAGGCAGAGATATGAAGATACATATAGATATAGAGATAGAGATAGAGATAGAGATAGAGATAGAGATAGAGATAGAGATAGAGATAGAGATAGAGATAGAGATAGAGATAGAGATATATTTTATGTAAATATAATGTCTGTAAAAAAATAGTATTTTCAAGGGATATGGAAGAGGTTCTATTATGGGGGGACTGCCCCTAGCCTATATGTCAATAGTCAATAAACATTTGTTAAATAATTATTATGTGCCAGACACTATGCTAAGCGCTAGGGCTACAAATAAGAAACAGAAAGTAAGAGACGGCTGTCGGGAAGCTTACAACCTAACAGGGGAGCACATTGCACAAAAAGTAATTGAAGATGGTGGGAGGAGTGTGGCCACAGTGTACCATGTGCTGGAGCACAATGTTTATGGAGATGAAACCAAGTGGCAGAGCTGACAGGAAATTAAGTTAGCTGGAACATTCTGAGTCTTCTATAAAGGGAGATTTGGGGAGGAATTTATTGCTCCCTCTCAAAGTCTCCAATCAGAGAGGAGAGGTAACTGAGGGTAGGTGCTGAGGTGCTAAGTATCAGAGCTGAATCAGTCTCTAAGACAATAAGATTTAGGTCCACGTGCCCAGGTACCTTCACCCTACAAGAGCCCTCACATTCTCTCATCCTATTTGTTTTCCAAGCCCAGCCAAAGCTTTTAGTAAAAAGCTGCAACAGGACAATTTACCACTTACTGGAAAATTGGCACTCAATTTGCTCACTAAACAGGATATGGGACTGTACCGTTGGCAAGAGCTTATAGTAAGTTTGTTCAGTGATAGCACGTTAATTACACAGTAATTTGGAAGAACATCAAGTAATTTTTAGTTACTTTATACTACACGGAAGCAAAATGAACTAGCATCTAGATCTCAATTTGTAATCTGAATTTTGGTAGATTTTCTTGTTTTGAATTTCTGTCATCCACACCATTCACCTAGTCTCGTGTTTGAAACTTGGAATTCTCTTTGACTCTTCCCTCTCCCTTTCCTCTCATATCTAATTATTTGCCAAGCCTTATTGATTCTTTCTTCACTATATCTTTCACACCCTTCTGTTCCTTTCTTCTCCATGCCTACTGCTATGACCCTGCTAAAAGCTGTCATTACCACCTACCTGCAGTATTACAAACAGCTGCCTGATGGGTCTTTTTGCCTCCATTCTCCCTCTCTTCCAATTTATTCTTCATATCTCTTCAAGATTAGTCTTTTTCTCTTTATCTGTGTACCTATCCTACTTCCACAACTAGACTGTAATCTCATTTAGAGTCTAAACTTTGTATTAGGAACCCAGATATACTCACACATTTTTGTGGACCTGGTCAGTTGGTAGTCTTCTAAGTATATTCTACATTTTCACATAACTGTCTGGATCTCAGGCATTGTGTAAATCGGATATGGGACATCTGAAGTGATTTATCCTAACAGCTCACAAATTTAGTGGTTATTCATCTGGGTTCCAGTACATATTAATGCTCACTTATACAACTCACCAAATGTCCCAATTTTCCAAAAAGTTTGTCTTCAATCAATTAGTCAATTAACAGTTGTTAATTAAGTACTTACTGTGTGCTAGGCACTGCTAAGTACTAGAGATACAAATCTAGCATTTGAGAAACTGTTTAGCTGAGTCCACATATGAGCAGAGGGCCCTTATCCCTCTATTTCCTGTAATTAGACATGAGGGTTTGGACCACATTCAGTCTTGGGAAGACTGTCATTGGTTCATTAAGTCCCTCACTCTAAGAACAATTTTAATTAAAGTAAATTAGATTGTGATGTCACAGACATGTCTTTTGAGAAAGATTCTTTTGCTTGTTAAAAATATCTCATTTTCTCTAGAAAAATCATCTTGCCTTGCCAATTTTCCTCCCCATGGACATTTTAATACATAGCTTTTTTATAGTTGAGGAAGCTAAGGTAGCCAGAGGTTAATTGACTTGCCCCAGGATTACACGCTAGTAAGTTTCTGGGGCTGGATTTGAACTCTAGGCCTGACACTCTGTACCAGCATTGGGATGACAGAACTGCTGTACATCATTATCCTACTAATACTGATGGTGACAATGACAGATAGCCTCCAGGGATAATATTTGACAAGTGCTGTCAACTCATTCCCTCATTTATCAATGTGGTATTATAATGTCTTTACATGCATTGCCAGAGCTGGCTCAGTGTTTGGGAGGCTCTGAAGGAAAGAGTGAGAGAGAAGAGGTATTGGGCTACCTACCAAACTGAAGGTCAACAGAATCATTGTGCTGACCTCATTGTTGTATGCCTTGGACAGTATACTAGTGCCATGCCAGGAAACTGAATCACTTTCATTTGAATTGTTTTAGGAAGATTCTGAAGATCACCTGCAAGATAAAGTATTGAACACTGAGGTCCTTTCTTAAACTGAACTGAAGCATTCAAATTCTACTGCAGAGAGCACAGCTCCAACGGGCTGGCCACATTGTTCAAGTGCCAAATGTACGCTTGCCAAAAAGACTATTTTTTGGAGAACTCACACAAGGCAAGTGCTCACATGGAAGTCAGAAGAAGCAATACAAGGACACTCTCAAGGTCTCTCTGAAGAAGTTTGGAATTGATTGTGAGACATGGGAGACAATGGCCAGGACCACTGAGCATGATAAGCCCACATCAAAGAAGGTGCTGTGCTGTATGAGCAAAGTAGAAGTGCAGTAGCTCAAAAAGAAACGTGAGATGTGCAAATTTAGAGACATCTCCGCTCCAAATGTTCATGTGGTCTATTTGTGCCCAAACTGTGGCAGAGCCTTCCAAACTGGTATTAGTTGGAACAGTCACAGTCAGACACACTGTACCTGGACCCCAGCATAGTCATGCCATTTTGGTCCTCTTCAAGAATGAAGGACAACAGGGCAGTGAGGTGGTGCGGTGGATAAAGCACTGGCCCTGGATTCAGGAGGACCTGAGTTCAAATCTGGCCTCAGATACATAACACTTACTAGCTGTGTGACCCTGGGCAGGTCACTTAACCCCACTGCCTACCCCTCCAAAAAAAAAAAAAAAAAAAAGAATGAAGGACAACCACAATAAAGTCTGCGCTGAATTTGATGCTATTTGGAGCAGATTTATACTTACCATAGCAGTCTTGCTTTTGTTGACTTTAATTTGAACTCTGTTTTCATGGATAAAAGTGGATGTATTTATGCTAGAGTTATGGTCTTTTAAATTTTTTGTTAAGTACTCTGATTGCATGCCTTATTTCTTTTGTTTCATTCTCTTTTCTGGGTTTCTAGTTGGAGTTCTTTCAGGATTATTCCTTTCTTCCTTAGATTCTTCTCACATTCTTTTAGCCCATAGTTTTTTGTTGTACCAGGAGCTCTTTTTTTACTTACTCATTTCTTCAGTCTCTCTCCTGAGCTTTTTTGGGTGGGGGGGATGGGGAGAGAGGGGGTGTTTCCTTGCAAGGATTCCTTTCTTCTTTCCTCTTTTTATGTTCTTTTTCTTACTTGACAAAGATGTCTTTATATAAAACTGATCTTGGAATCTGGAAGAACTGGCTGAGTTTAAGTCACCTCTCTGATATGTGTAGCTAGGTCCCAGTTAGTGCAAATAATGAATCCCCTGAAATGGCTGCCTGTATTTCAGTCATACTAATTCAAAATTAAAATTATATCAGATGTGATCTTTGGTTCCAGCCCAATGGAAATAATGCAGTTTGAATTTTATTAATTAGACTACTCTAGGGGGATTTATTATTCATACTATTTGGGACCAAGCTGCAGTAGCTAAGTGACCTTGGGCAAGTCTCTTAACCACTCTAAGATTACTAGGTCTGCACTGATACCAGGAGTTTCTTCCTCTGGAATTCCCTGTAGCGATGGAACCACTGGTCTGGTCCCTATCCTTACTTTATTTGGTATATTTCATGATGATAATGAAGTGTAATTGGGCTTAAATACCAACTCTCACTCAACCATCATTCTAGAAGTCCTCCAGAAAGAATTTACTTCTAGAATGGTCCAGTATGAATGGCAGTGAGCTTCCCTTTATTAGAGATAATCAAGCAGAAGCTCAATCACCACTTACCAGGATATACTATAGAAATTATTTTTGCACTGGATGGGAGGCTTAACTAGGTAACCTGTAAGGTCCCTTCCAGTAGTTTGCATAGAGATGGTAATTGAAACTATGGTAGTGAATGGGAAAGTAGGGCTCTGAAGTTTTCTTTCCAGATCTTATTCTGTAGCAGCTGAAGTGGAAAAGGCAGCCTTTCTTAAATTTTGGCCTGGGGATCCAAGACTTAAATTTTGATTTTAGGAGAGGAATTAATTGGGGGTGGTAGTGGCAGGAATAAGAGAGGGAGAGTAAAGGGAACAAAAAGAAGGGATCTAGGGCAAAGGTCAGTGAAAGGAATCTATTATATTAATTAGCTGATGATAAGCAGAGAGAATTCCATTTTGTGAGTGGGGAGGGCTTCTCAGCTGAAATCTCACCTTCTGTGGGAAGCCTTTGCTAGTGCCTTCTCTATTTATTCTCTAGTCTCTTACCTTTCCCCTACTCCATGTTGTTTTCCTCATCAGACTGTGAGCTCCTCGAAGGTCAGGACTGTTTTTTTTTCCTTTCCTTGGGAAATATTTAACAAAATAGGTAAAAAATACAATACAATACAACAGATAATGTTAGTTTGTATTTTTCTAAGTTAATGTGTTACCACAGGTACCTGTTTCTATTTGAGTTTGACACCACTGAGCTGGCATTTCCTTGTGCCTGGTATTAAGTAAGCACTTAATAAATGCTGATTGATTAATTCAGAGCCTTTCTTCTCTCCCTCTTTCTCCTTTTTCCATCATCTTCCAGGCACCCAGTGACTGGATACTGTGCCTCATCCCAATTCTCTGCCCAAGCACTCCCACTGCAGTGACCTATCTCATGTGTCCTCTGGCTCCTCTATATGTTCTTCACTCCTTTGAGCAGTCAGGATGAGAGTCAGGTTTAAATTTTGCTTGCTCCCCACTGCCCCTCTTTGTTGTTAAATTCTTTTTTTTTTGCATATCTCATTTATGTGAAATAATTTTCCCTACTCTTCCTCTCCGTTTCCTCTCTTCTAGTACATTCCTTTTCACCACTCATTTGATTCATATTTTGAGATCTAAACACGACAGAATCACAGCCAGGCCTTCTGTCTAATTAGACTCACCCTTTCATCCTTGGTGACAATAATGTTCTGAGGGTTTACATGAATCATCTCCCTTTATGAGAATGTAAATAATTTAATCATGTTCAGTCCCTTAGGATTTCTCACTTGAGTTCATCTTTTTATGTTTCTCTTGCTCCTGCATCAATTTTGTCAAATTTTGCACTTATTGCTGATCTTTAAATCAGGAATGCAAGAAAATACTCCATTTTGCTAGTAGTCCATTTTTTCCCCTATAGAATTTTATTCATTTTTGCTGGTTAGATTATTCTTGGCTGTAAACCTAGATCCTTCACTTTCTGTAATATATTCTAAGCTCTCCACTTTTTTATAGTGGTGATTGCTAAATCTTGATTGTTGCTCCTAGGTACTTGAATTCTTTCTTTCTGGATACTTGCAGTATTTTTTCCTTCATCTGGGAGCTATGAATTTTGGCTGTCATATTCCTGGTAGTTTTCATTTTAGGGTCGTTTTTTACAAGGTAACAAGTGGATTCTTTCAACTTTTACTTTTCCCTCTGGTTCTAAGAAATTGGGAGTTTTGTTTTGTGATTTTTTAAAATGACTTTCAGGTACTTCCATGATTCTTAAATTCTCTCTCCTTGATCTGTTTTCCAGGTTAGTTTTTTTATGAGATATTTCACATTTTGTTCTATTTTTTCAGTCTTTTGACTTTTTAAATTTTTTTCCTTCATGTCTCATGGAATCATTAGCTTCTATTTGGCCAGTTCTAAATTTCAAGAGTTATTTTCCTCATGTTTTGTACCTCTTTTTCCAAGCTGTTAAGTCTCTTTTCATATTTTTCTTCCCCAATTGTTACCTCTTTTCCCGTTCTTTCCTCTACTGTTCCCCTTTATTTTATTTATTTATTTATTGGCAAGGCAATTGGGGTTAAGTGACTCGCCCAGGGTCACGCAGCTAAGTAAGTGTCAAGTGTCCGAGGCCGTATTTGAACTCAGGTCCTCCTGACTCCAACGCCGGAGCTCTATCCACTGAACCACCTAGCTGCCCCCAGAACATACTTTCAAGGTGAGTTTGTGAGTTCCAGGGTTGAGATAATTTTTTCTGGATGAATGGCTTTCTGAGGCATGGTGGGTGTAGGCTCTACAGGTATTATTGTCTTCACTAACTTCAATTAGTCAATAAACATTTATTAGGCAACCACTCTGTTCCAGGTACTATGCTAAGCAGTGGGGATACAAAGAAAAGTAAAAAACAGTCCTGTGCCCTTGAAGAGTTCATAATCTAATGGGAGGAAGAACATGCAAATAATTATTTATGAACAAGCTATATATAGAATAAATTGGAGATAATCAACAGAGGGAAGGCACTAGAATTAAGAAAAATTTAAAAAGGTTCCCTGAAGAAGGTGGGATATTATCTGGAACATGAAGGAATACAGGAGGCAGAGATGAGGAAGAAGAGCATTCCGTGCATGAGAGCAGCCAATGAAAATGCCTCAAGGGGGGAGATGGAGTGTCTTGTTTGAAGAACAACAAGGATGCCAATGTCACTAATGAATATATGTGGTGGTGGTGGGAGGGAGTAGAAGGCATAAGGAGATAGAAAGGCAAGGGGAGGCAGGTTATTAAGGGCAATGCTACAGGATTTTATATGTAATTCTGGAAATGATACAGTCTCTGGAATTTCTTGACTCCGAGAGTGATATGGTCAGACCTCAGTTTTAGGAAAATCACTTTGATAGCTGAGCCTTGTGATTTGAAATACTATAGTCTTTTCACCACTGCTTTCTAATAATGGGAATTTTTCTATACTATGACAGGAAGCTGGAGTGGGGGATAGAAAGAGGAAGTATCTCTGAGCAGAGAGTTTAGGGTGCTCTTCAAGTGTGCCTTCTCTATACACCTAGCCTTGGGAATCGTTTTCCATAGAACCTGTTGGGGGGGGGGAGCGGGGCATAAAAATAATTATGAAGTATTTTGCTTCCATTAACAGGTTCAAATTACTTCAGTAATGTACATGGAAACTGAGCATACCTAAAAACCATCCTACTGGCTTGAACGTGCTTTGGAAACAACGTGTTGCAAACAGTGTATTGCCTTGCACCCTCATTTTTCTTTCCTGTGAGCTATTTAAGTATCAGAATGCACTTATGTAACAAAGCCTTTTCTCCATGGAGCTCAGAATGCTTTATAAATATTGACTCATGCATAACGTCTTGCCTCCCAGTGAGGTAGGTGTCTTATAAATA